GACAGACAGAGCGGAGACCGAGAGAGACAGGGCAGAGACCGAGAGAGACACAGACAGGGCGGAGAGAGAGAGAGATACAGGGCGGAGACCGAGAGTGAAAGAGAGACAGACAGGGCGGAGAATGAGAAAGCGAGAGAGACATGGTGGAGAGTAAGAGAGAGAGACAGGGCGGAGACCAAGAGTGAGAGACAGACAGACAGGGCGGAGACCGAGAGAGAGTGACAGACAGACAGACAGGGCGGAGACCGAGAGACAGACAGACAGGGCGGAGACCGAGAGAGGGACAGACAGACAGGGCGGAGACCGAGAGAGAGACAGACAGGGCGGAGACCGAGAGAAAGACGGACAGGGCGGAGAGAGAGAGACAGACAGGGCGGAGAGAGAGAGAGAGAGACAGACAGGGCGGAGAGAGAGAGAGAGACAGGGCGGCGACCGAGAGAGAGAGATACAGGGCGGAGACCGAGAGAGAGAGATACAGGGCGGAGACCGAGAGTGAAAGAGAGACAGACAGGGCGGAGAATGAGAAAGCGAGAGAGACATGGAGAGTAAGAGAGAGAGACAGAGCGGAGACCAAGAGTGAGAGAGAGACAGGGCGGAGACCGAGAGAGAGAGACATGGCGGAGACCGAGAGAGAGAGGCAGGGCGGAGACCGAGAGAGACAGACCGACAGGGCGGAGAGTGAGAGAGACAGACAGGGCGGAGAGTGAGAGACAGACAGGGCGGAGACCGACAGATAGACAGACAGGGTGGAGAGTGAGTGAGAGAGAGAGACACAAGGCGGAGAGTAAGAGAGACAGACAAGGCGGAGAGTAAGAGAGACAGACAAGGCGGAGAGTGAGAGAGACAGACAGGGCAGAGAGTGAGAGAGAGAAACAGGCAGGGCGGAGACTGAGAGACAGACAGGGCGGAGACCAAGAGTGAGAGAGAGAAACAGGCAGGGCGGAGACTGAAAGAGAGACAGGGCGGAGAGTGGGAGTGAGAGAGACAGACAGGGCGGAGGCCGAGAGTGAGAGAGAGACAGACAGAGTGGAGACCGAGAGTGAGAGAGAGACAGAAAGGGCCGAGAGTGAGAGAGAGTGACAGGCAGGGCGGAGACCGAGAGACAGACAGGCAGGGCGGAGACCGAGAGTGAGTGAGAGAGAGAGACAGGGCGGAGACAGAGTGTGAGTGAGACGGCGAGAGTGCGAGTGGTCATGGAACTCCAGTACATATGGAACCATGCCCCCATGGTTCCTTATGTACTGGAGTTCCATGACCACTCGCACTCTCGCCGTCTCACTCACACTCTGTCTCCGCCCTGTCTCTCTCTCTGCCCTGTCTCTCTCACTCACTCTCGGTCTCCGCCCTGCCTGTCTGTCTCTCTCTCGGTCTCTCTCCTGTCCTGACTAATATCCCCTTCCCAGTGTTCCCTGATAAGGTCTAGTGTCCCCCTCACCCACCTCCCAAATAGTAGCTCAAACAGGGAAAACCATAACCCTGTGGATTCCTAAGGCACCTCCTCGTATGCAAACAAGATGTGCAGCAGGAATCTCTCCCAGTCTCTGCTGGTGGCCGCGAACATTTAGACCATTTGCTTCAATGTTCTGTTGAGCCATTCGCGCATAGGCCATTGGTTTGGGGGTGATAAAGGGAGCACATAATCGACTTAATGCCGCAGAGCCTCGAGAGTTGGTAGGGGACCTCTTCAGTAAATTGGGAGCCCTGATCCGACACTACCTCCAGGGAAAAACCCATGTGGGAGAAGATTTGCATCATGGCTTCCGCAACTGTTTCTGCATGAATGTTGGTCACCCCTGGGTATCTGGTTGCGTTGTCCACCACCGTCAAGATATATTTTGTGCCGGAGGGGCTAGGCTTAGCTAAGGGCCCGACTAGTCTGCCACTATCCTACTTAAGGGTTCCTCAATAGCAGGGTGGAGTTTGGCATTGCAGCAATCTTCCCTCTTACCTACTGTCAGGATTACAAGTTGATCCAGCACGCAATACTGTGTCACACCTAGGACTAAGGATAACTTATAAGCAGACCTTTGAATGGCCAGACTTAATATCTACAAGAATAGTCAAAATACTAGCTATGGTCAGGGACGTAGAATCAGACACAAAGATGAGGGAAAGCCAAAAGTCAAGTCCTCTGTGATTCCCAGCAGACAAGGTCCCTTGTCCCACACATACCTCTCCCCTTCTAACACAGCCTGACTGGAGGTGACCCAGTCCCTGTATACCTGTAGCGTGGGATCAGTGGTCACCTCATTCTCAAACTCAGTGGGGGCTTCCCTTGCAGTTTAGGGTTTCCACACCTCGTTGACTTAGGTGCGCACATTCTAATGAGGTGTAAACATTCCAAACAAACATTCTAAATGGAGTATCAAGGTGGTCCCTGTTTGGGAGGTGAACAGAACTTGTTCGTATGGGGACTCCCGAACAGGGAGTAGGTAAACCATAAGACTACACACAATATAGGGGAAAATTATGGGAAATGACATAGAGCAAATCACTAACAGGCAGTGGTCCTGCCAAACAGCTCCCCTTTAACTACAAGCCGGCATACACAGTCTGATCCCAACTGATCGGCTTGGGGAATGTCCTGGGGTGTACTCATGGATCACTTATCTAGGGCTGACTGTCAGGAAAACCCTTCAGCATTGCCGTTCTGCTTACCGGGTCAGTAGTGAATGGTAAAGCCATAAGGTTGCCTCCACCGTAGCAGCCTGGCATTGACCCCTGAGACCCGGTTGAGCCATACCAACGGGTTGTCATCCATGAAGGGTGAATTGCTGTCCATACAGATAGGGCTGCAACTTCTTAAGTGCCCACACTGCCGCCAGGCATTCTTTCTCAATGCCGGCGTAGCTTACCTACCTGGGCAACAGCTTCCTGCTGAGGTAAGCCTCGGGGTGTTCTCCGTCATCATCCTCGACCTGGCTCAGTACAGCTTCTAACCCAAACATGGAGGCATCTGTGTGAACGAGAAAATGTTTTCTGGGATTAGGAGCAGCCAGGACAGGGGCATATGTCAGGGTGTCCTTGAGGGCTTGGACGGTCGGTGACGGGTTTAGCTATGGCACTGTAGTTGGGGACAAATTTCCTTTAATAGCCAGCTGTCCCTATGAAACTCAGCACCTGGGTCTTAGTGAGGGGATGGGGCCAGCTAACTACTGCCTCCAGTTTGGCTGGCACATACTTCTGTGTCCCAGGTATTGTACCTCTGCCAGTGGTATTGTACCCCATTGTCCCAAGTATTGTAGCTGTGCCATCCCCAGGTTGCACTTGCTGGGCTTCAGATTCAATCCTGCCTCCCCAATCCTGTCCAGCACAGCCCCCACATGTGCCAGGTGTTCCTCCTAAGTATCGCTGTGTATATGGCGATGTTGTCCAGGAATGCAGAGGCATAATCCTGGAGGCCATCTAGCAGCCAGTCCAGTGGAAAGTGAACGGAGCATTCATCATTCCGAATGGCATTACCTAAAACTGGTATAGGCCAAAGGGGGTGACGAAGGCAGACTTGGGGACAGCATCCACTGCTAGGCGGATCTGCCAGTACCCCTTACCCATGGATCTCATGCAGCATACTTCCCCGCACAGCCAGAGGCTGGCGGGGAATCCCCCAGTTCCAAGGATATACTTATGGGGTTATTGCATGTTTTGGGGTCCCTGTGATGTGTTTTATGAAACTGTATTATTTCTGGCCAGCAGATAATTGAGCTTTGTGTATTGTAGAAACTCAATTATCTAGCCTGGCCCAGAGGAGGAGTTTTGTGTTGCATAAATTGTGAGTTCTGTGTGCCAGTAAATCAGTCTTGTTCCAGCATTAAGCCTTGGCTCATGTTTGGGGGATTGGAGAAATACACTCTGGGGATTGCTATAATCACTATACTCCCCAGGGTATGATCACTAAGTTCTGCTAAGAGCTTGTTCCTGTTCCTGCTCTCTGGGGAAAGAGAGGTTCACCCACTGGAAGCTGGATCTTGGCCTTGGGTCCAGGGTGGGTGGAGACAGCAGAGACCCCGGCGCAGTTGCATCGCTGGAAGTGGGGTCTGCAGTGCTGATAGTGTCGGTGGGAGTGCTTGGAGTCCTCAGCGAGCACTAGGAGCATCGATTGGCGGAGGTACTCAGTCGGAGTGCCAGCGTTCCGTCACAAGGGCGACTGCCTCAGGATACCGAGTCACGTAGTCCAGGATGGTCAGAATCTACTTCTTCCCAGAGGGACTAGGCTTAGCTAGGGGGCCTATGATATCGACAGATACTCTGCCAAATGGATCTTCAATAAAGGGGAGGGGATAGAGCAGGGCCTTATGTCGATTGCCCCGCTTCCCCAATCTCTGGCAGACATCGCAGGTCTGGCAATACTGCCTCAGATCCTTAGAGATGACTGGCCAGAAGAAGCTTTGGGTGACCCGAGACGTTGTACGACTCCTTCCCAAATTCCGTGGGCTAGCTTCAGCAGCTCATACCGATATTTCTTGTGCGCCACCAACTGCTTGGTGGTAGTAGGGGCTGTAGCTGGTTCCTTTCTCACTGCTATGCAGTACAACCCTTCCCAGATGTGCTGCTTCCCCTCTTTCCCTATCTCCCCTGTGGCTGCCTTGTCCTTGCAGCCCTGTAGAGTCAGGTCGGAGGCTACCTCCCTCTCAAACTTATCTGAGGTATCCCAGGGTATGGGGGCTGGGTCAGTGGTAGGATCCCGGGGCTCTGGTGGTAGGTAACTAGTACAGGTGGCCCGAGTGTAGGGACGGGAATGGTGCCCTGAGGGAGGGGGACTGACACGGGTTATGGGGCCGTCTATGGGACCAGGGGGGTGGAAAGGGGCACATGCCTACCTGAGCCCCAGAGTGTGAACCAACCTTGCTGCCGGGTCTTCACGGGGTAGGCTTCTTCCAGAGTCTGGACGGAGACAAAAGGTGAAGGCGAGGTGTCCCAGGTTGTTGCCGAGCAGCAACTCTGCAGGTAGTCGATCCATGAGGTCCACAAGGTGGGAAGCAATCCGCGAATGCTCCCCCTGAATGGCATTAGTTTACCCCCTTAAGGACATGTGACATGTCATGATTCCCTTTTATTCCAGAAGTTTGGTCCTTATTAAGGGGTTAATTAAGGGGCCACCACCCAGGGTCAGCATGCGCCAGGCTTCCCTTGCGGTTTGTGGTTTTCACACCTCGTTGACTTAGGTGCGAACAGTCTAATGAGGTGTGAACATTCCAAACAAACATTCTAAATGGAGTATCAAGGTGGTCCCTGTTCGGAAGGCGAACAGAACTTGTTCGTATGGGGACTCCCAAATGAGGAGTAGGTAAACCACAAGAATACACACATTATTGGGGAATGACATACAGTAAATCACTTATAGGCATGCCTACTCTGCATGAGAGTCTCTCTGCTTTCTTTAATTCTCTGAACCGCCTCCGTATGCCTACGGAGTGATGGATTACCTGGCTAGTATCACTGTCTTTACCAGAACATAGTCCCGAATATCCTTGTCTGGGACGGTTCGGTATGCTTCCGCTGCCCTCCCTGACAGCCTGCTAGCCAACAGTGGAACCCAGTCTTCCGGACGGATCCTATGCAATGCACTTTGTCTCGCAAAGTCTTGGAGGAAGGCATCAATATCCTCCTCTACAAAGTTCTTAAACGCACCATAGGGTATTTTTGGCTTACCCTCTGGTACTATTGTCACCTCCTGGGTCCTTTCTGGAGTTTGTTTTTCGTTCCATTTTAGCACAAACTCCTGGACCTCCGATATGGTTCGGGCAATAATTTCTCCATAGAAAGACAAACAACATTGTAATATCCTTTGAAATTTGCTTTTCTTGTTCGCGCTGATCCGAAGCGCAGTCCGTTAGGTATTCCGCCATCAGTTCGGCAATAAGGATGAAGTACTCCAGAACTGGCAAGAGGGTCAAACACACAAATAAGGGAAAACATACAAATAGGTGATAAGTTCTGCCTCAAAAGTATAGAACAAGCATCCATTCCGCTACAAGTGAGACTGAGTGTGAGTTAGTCTGACAGGGTGGGGACTGAGTGTGAGTGAGTCTTACAGGGTGGGGACTGAGTGTGAATGGGGATTGGTTTTGGGTGAGGGCTCAGTGGGTGTGGGTGAACCCTTTTTAATGTAAGTTTAAACTCAGTGAGAGCTCTTAACAGTAAATCTCATGGATTCTGTGAGTGAGCTGGTACTCGAGTTTCCCCAATAAATACACTCACTGCAAAACCATGAGTGAAGCTACTTTTACATGTAAACTAGTTTTATTCATGTTTTTTATTTTTATTTTTGCATAAATGAAACTACAGTACTTGTCACTACTAGATTAACTATAGTATGTTTGGCTGAATAACAATTAAAATCCAAAGCTTGCAGTGGCTGGGTTGGATCAAGGATATCTCTACA